ACGTAACGGAGCACAGCGCTCCCTCTGAGTCGCTGAGGCCGCATCCTTCTTAGAGCCTCTTGTACCATCCAGCAGAACCGGGCTCCCTGAGAAGCTTCGGTTCACTACCAGAGCCCTCGGACCCCCCTCTAGTTGAGCCCTGCCTGCATTCGGACTCACGCATTTACCCCCTCTTCCATAACCTCGGGTTTTTAACAACAATGATGAACATGTGCTGCCGCCCAACCCACCCGAAGAGTTCGAGTTGCCTTTCTCCTCCCCACCTACTCCATATATAGGAACCATCCCTATTGGCCTCGACACTGTGGTGGACCGAGTCATCTGCACACCCCTGGATGCACACCGGTCTGAGCACGCTTTAAAGCACGAGAGGCAGCATGTGCGTTGGGACAATACAGTCCTTCCGCAGCTCATAGCTGTGTACATTCAGTGGGAGCGTTTGCGTTATTCCGGATCGGGGGTCACACCTAGAGTGGATCCTTGTGATTGTGGGGGCAGCCACCTGGCACTCAAAGTTGTTTGTTTGCCGTTTGACTGCAAAGAGGAGGTCTTGCTTATTGTTTGCAGTACCTGCCCTGCTCCCATCTAGCTTGTTGAGCTTGGGATGTTCCCATGTGCTCCATATCGCCCTTCACTGGCCGTAAGCATCGATATGTTGGAATGGGTCTCACTTTTCTTCAAGTTTACCGCCCCAAACAACCGGGCATGGGCAGCTACCATGCAAACCATACTTCAAAATCGCGGGTTTCATTTTGATGCCAAGGACTCTCTTCGTAGATGTTTCGCGAATGCCCTGAAATATTACCAGAGTCTCGTTTCGTTAGTCCAAGCAGAGCTTGTTCGTTTAGCAAGAAGCTATGCACTTCCATCTCAACCTTCATCTGTGATGCCACAGGGGCCATCTACCTCCGTCTCGCAGCATTCCGAGGGTACCGAGATTGAGACTGATTTTGATGTCACGACTCCGATCAATCATCGCGTGTATGAGAATGCCCATCATACTCCAAACCCTAATGCTGATGATCAGCCTAGTTCTTTCCTCCATTCTCAATGTCCCCTCTGTTTTGGTGGGTCCTATACGAAAGGGGAGGATGTACAGGCCATCATATGTTGCGATGTGAATTTCCAACTAAAGCGGATTAAAGACAAGGATCGTCGACGTGGAATGGAGGAGAAAGTCGGGGGAAGGATCCTGCTTTCATGTCACCAAGAACTGTATTTTTGTCTGAGGACTTCGTTCAGTTTTGGAAAGAACACGTCGAGACCATCCGCCCCACTAAAAAGTCTTCCAGGAAGCGCAGAAACCGTGAAGGGGAGGAGGTGGACATTGAGCATGCTCCAGCTGGTGCAGATGATAGGAGGGAGTTTGGCTTGCCAGTCCCAAACTCTACATATGATGCTTGTTCTGAGTCTTTCATCGCTGCCGATGGGGAACGCATTAAGGCATCGACAGACTATTTTGTGGACACTGGAGTGATGGCGATCCTGTGTCGCCATGATATACCCCTATTCCTCATTAACGTCCAGATGGCCGGTGAGAAACAGCACTACCTTTTCACGCTCGTCGCAAAATTCTTTGAGCACGTCCCGGGCTCATGGCAGGTTGGAATATTGTATGACATAGGATGTCAGGGAGATCATACCCTGAAGAAATACAACATTGCTCCGGAGTGGAGATCTCGAATCGTGTGGGGTGTCTCCATTTTCCATGCATATGGTCACCAGTATGCCTGTCAGCTTTGGTACCATCCATGTAAATCGGAGCTTTGGGGCCTCACGGATGGTGAAGGTTGTGAGAGGGTGTGGAGCCAGCTGCGACAGTTGATACCGGGCCTTCGAGTTACTGGCCATTATCGTCACCTCTTTCTAATTGATGTCCAGGTTGAGCACATTGAGTCCATGAAGTCCCCTGACTCTGGAAAATGCCTTCGAGGCCACCTAAAGAGGGCCAGGGGGCGACTTAATGCAGCTACCGGCCATTCGGGGAAGAACAACAATGATCCGGTTCCTGATCTGTTGGCACAGTTTGAGGACCAGCGACGTTATTACAGCAAACCTTTAGAGCGTCAATCGAAGACAGCGGCCCAGAAGCTAGTGGATCGAATTACTTCACTGAGGACCGAGTTAAAGACCCAAGAGACACTCTATGAGGAGCTTGTTCGGACCAGGCCAGTAGATGATCCAGTTCGTCAGTTTGAGTCGCAAGAATTCATGGAGAAAGTGGCAGAAGAGATTGTAAGGCTGAAGGAGTCGTTGGCCACAAACATGCGTATGCTTGGAGCACAGGGCGATGCTGCCTTCAAAGAGCTGGAGCGGCTGAAGAAGGATGAGTGGACAAATGAACTCATCAACTTTCGAATCCTTAGGGAGCAGCTTGTTCGGAAATTGCGTTCAAGACGGTTCGAACTCAACATACTTGATCGCTCAAAAGCTCGCACCATTGATCAAAATGTCAAGGCCCATGTGGAGAAAGCAGTGAAGGGCCGATCATCTGCCATTGACATTACACTGCGAAAATACAACGAGAAGCTAGAGCTTCTAAGGAGGCTTCGGACTACTTCTCCAGCCCACCAAAATAAGTATCTCCCACCTTCCCTCAGCCGTGACACCATCCTCAAGTTAGATGTAGATCAAGATCTTTGGCAAGAGTTCTTTGACCAAGAGCCCGGTGTAGGAGAAATAACGGCCACACTATGGAAACCCATTATGGAAATATGCCAGATAAATCACAAAACCTCATACGACAAGTAGATATGAGAACATAGAAGGACCTGAATTTTAACGAATTTTACGAATTTTTACGAATTATTATGACTATACACGATAAATCGAAAGAAAGAAAAATAACAAAAATACTTCAAGCTTACCATCAACGAGACGGAATTCTCGGGGGAATTTATAGCAAATATTAAACCAAGAATTAGGACAATCGACCAAGATTTGACTATAAAAATAATCAGAGAACCTCCACGGAAACTACTTTCCCACGTCTGCACACGTAGCAAGGATGGAAGTACCACGGAACAAAGATTTCTCAGGAACTAATGCAAAAGTCAAAGTCGTGTTTATAATAGGAAATGTAGATGTCCCCCAAACGGAACCAATGAGAGTAATTACAGGGGAAACTACCCATAAACGACGGAGATATGACTAAAACTCCTGCAAAATGAGGACAATGTCTAAAAAGCAAGCGCGAAGATTAACTAGTAACGACCGAGACAAGCTTGATAGCCCATTAAAAAGGAAGGATCTACTCTTAATCCTCCCAAATTTTTATAATAAAAGGATCATGCGTTAATGAGAAATCCAATAATGGGAATAGCGACATCAAAAGTCCGAACTCAGGGACAAGACGATGATTGCGTAGGATCCATAATTAAAACATACAACGAAATTTACACAGAAATTATTAAAAATAGGAAACTATAGTTATGCAAATTCTCAGCCCAAACGGTCCAGCCATTGTGAAGTTATACCCATGACGGGAATATAGGAATCCGCATCATGTGTAATGACACGTGAGGGTGGCGATGCGCAGGGAACCGGCCGTCGGAACCGAGATCCGCACTTCGGCAGATCGCGAAGACCAATTTCCGTCCAAATAAGGAAGAGCCCGGTCAAAACAAAGCACGGAAAGTGCAAAACAACCTTAGATCATGAGGGAAAAATCTGAAATAAATCACAGAAGCCCATATGAAAGAAATAAACACCCGCGCATATCATAAATCCCAAACAAATAAACGAAAATGGCTCCCGCATACGAACGACGCACGTGATTACCGAATGTGCACACGAATCTTTGCTAACTCAACGAATACCAGGAAATAGGACACAATATTAGTACCATTGGAAAGGTGGGAATAAATGAAAATTTATGATACTAAGAACGTGAGAAAACATCCAGAAATGAATGAGATACAAGGACATGAAGTTAGAAACCTGAAAATGCACGGGAAAACAGCTTCAAGAGGTCCAGAGTCCTAAATAAAATAGATAAAAATATGATATCTTCAAGGACAACCTACTATAACAACCAACGATACATATGGAGGATTAGGATGTGATAATACAAAAGGAAATCAGAGAATATGAACAAAATTCACGAAAACCACTAAACTACGACGGACCATGGCGGGAATTTTAGGGAACGATATTCTAATGAGGTGGAGAGCTATAACACATTCGTTTGAGTAATTCTTGACTACTAGCCACTTTTTCTTTCAGTTTCAAACCTGAATAATTCACTCATTTACCATTTCAGTCTCATTTTAACTAAATGTCACTAAATAAAAATGGAATAAATCAGCTGAAGGTCTCAGCACAGTCGTACGCTGAAGGAGAGAATGAAGGAAGGTCAGTTGGGAGGTTCAAACGAGACCACCACCAAGCTGTTCCCTGGTTCTTTAGTTAGGATGGGGAAGTGTACTAGTGTTATTTATTGTAAATAAAGTACCAATCCGAGTGTTTTGGCTAATTCTATTTTTATGGGTTAGTTTTAAAGTTCCTGGGAATTGACTTACAGATAAACCGAGCCCTGCGGAGCTGTTTCTTTATTGAAATTTATTAATTTGTCTAGGTGTAATTCTGTGTAGCGTTGTTTAATTTGGATTTAAACTTGAATTTAATCTTCTACTTGGTGAAGTTTCAAAGATTCTATTCAGTTAATGAATTTGGATGGTGTCTGGAGTGTCCCTTGAGTTCGTTTTATTTTTGTCTTTATTTTATCGCTTGTTTTAACAGTAGCAAAATAACTGTTTTGTGTTTACACTTTGAAATCTGGAGTGTTAACCAGCTCTCCTGTTGAAATATCTACTTAATATTTCTCTCCTTAATTGCTGCCTTTTACTACAGTGGCAATCTTAACTGTATATCACTTTTTCGCACTGGAGTGACAACCAGAAATGCTTGAGAAAAATAATACTCTATTTTCTTACTTCTCTGAGGGGGGCGAAAAGTCGCAGAAAGGGTCTCCCTTTTATACTCCTTGGGTCACCTTCCTTTTTCATGCTCTACCTTCTATTTACAGGATTTATTTACAGTGTATTTTTCTCAAACTGAATAAAAATGAAATTTTCATGCTATAGTTCTACTGTGCTTTTGCTGCGCTGAACTGCGGTTCTACTGCGGTCAGACTGCGCCTAGAATTCTTATTGTCCTCCCTCGCCTAAGCTATTTTAATGGTTAATTAGAACTTGGCTGCACTGCATTTGCCGCAGTTACCTATTTCAAATTCTATATATATACCATTAAATTTGCTATGACTCGATGACTCTGAATTCAAACTTCGCATTACTATGCGTACGGCTGTGCTGAGACCTTCAGCTGATTTATTCCATTTTTATTTAGTGACATTTAGTTAAAATGAGACTGAAATGGTAAATGAGTGAATTATTCAGGTTTGAAACTGAAAGAAAAAGTTGCTAGTAGTCAAGAATTACTCAAACGAATGTGTTATAGCTCTCCACCTCATTAGAATATCATTCCCTAAAATTCCCGCCATGGTCCGTCGTAGTTTAGTGGTTTTCGTGAATTTTGTTCATATTCTCTGATTTCCTTTTGTATTATCACATCCTAATCCTCCATATGTATCGTTGGTTGTTATAGTAGGTTGTCCTTGAAGATATCATATTTTTATCTATTTTATTTAGGAGTCTGGACCTCTTGAAGCTGTTTTCCCGCGCATTTTCAGGTTTCTAACTTCATGTCCTTGTATCTCATTCATTTCTGGATGTTTTCTCACGTTCTTAGTATCATAAATTTTCATTTATTCCCACCTTTCCAATGGTACTAATATTGTGTCCTATTTCCTGGTATTCGTTGAGTTAGCAAAGATTCACGCGCACATTCGGTAATCATGTGCGTCGTTCGTATGCGGGAGCCATTTTTGTTTATTTGTTCGGGATTTATGATATGCGCGGGTGTTTATTTCTTTCATATGGGCTTCTGTGATTTATTTCAGATTTTTCCCTCATGATCTAAGGTTGTTTTGCACTTTCCGTGCTTTGTTTTGACCGGGCTCTTCCTTATTTGGATGGAAATTGGTCTTCGCGATCTGCCGAAGTGCGGATCTCGGTTCCGACGGCCGGTTCCCTGCACATCGCCACCCTCACGTGTCATTACACATGATGCGGATTCCTATATTCCCGTCATGGGTATAACTTCACAACGGCTGGACCGTTTGGGCTGAGAATTTGCATAACTATAGTTTCCTATTTTTCATAATTTCCGTGTAAATTTCGTTGTATGTTTTAATTATGGATCCTACGCAATCATCGTCTTGTCCCTGAGTTTGGACTTTTGATGTCGCTATTCCCGTTATTGGATTTCTCATTAACACATGATCCTTTTATTATGAAAATTTGGGAGGATTAAGAGTAGATCCTTTCCTTTCTAATGGGCTATCAAGCTTGTCTCGGTCGTTACTAGTTAATCTTCGCACTTGCTTTTTAGACATTGTCCTCGTTTTGCAGGAGTTTTAGTCATATCTCCGTCGTTTATGGGTAGTTTCCCCTGTAATTACTCTCATTGGTTCCGTTTGGGTGACATCTACATTTCCTATTATAAACACGACTTTGACTTTTGCATTAGTTCCTGAGGAATCTTTGTTCCGTGGTACTTCCATCCTTGCTACGTGTGCAGACGTGGGAAAGTAGTTTCCGTGGAGGTTCTCTGATTATTTTTATAGTCAAATCTTGGTCGATTGTCCTAATTCTTGGTTTAATATTTGCTATAAATTCCCCCGAGAATTCCGTCTCATTGATGGTAAGCTTGAAGTATTTTTGTTATTTTTCTTTCTTTCGATTTATCGTGTATAGTCATAATAATTCGTAAAAATTCGTAAAATTCGTTAAAATTCAGGTCCTTCTATGTTCTCATATCTACTTGTCGTATGAGGTTTTGTGATTTATCTGGCATATTTCCATAATGGGTTTCCATAGTGTGGCCGTTATTTCTCCTACAACCCATAGTACTGCAAAGTTTGAATTCAGAGTCATCGAGTCATAGCAAATTTAATGGTATATATATAGAATTTGAAATAGGTAACTGCAGCAAATGCAGCGCAGCCAAGTTCTAATTAACCATTAAAATAGCTTAGGCGAGGGAGGACAATAAGAATTCTAGGCGCAGTCTGACCGCAGTAGAACCGCAGTTCAGCGCAGCAAAAGCACAGTAGAACTATAGCATGAAAATTTCATTTTTATTCAGTTTGAGAAAAATACACTGTAAATAAATCCTGTAAATAGAAGGTAGAGCGTGAAAAAGGAAGGCGACCCAAGGAGTATAAAAGGGAGACCCTTTCTGCGACTTTTCGCCCCCCCTTAGAGAAGTAAGAAAATAGAGTATTATTTTTCTCAAGCATTTCTGGTTGTCACTCCAGTGCGAAAAAGTGATATACAGTTAAGATTGCCACTGTAGTAAAAGGCAGCAATTAAGGAGAGAAATATTAAGTAGATATTTCAACAGGAGAGCTGGTTAACACTCCAGATTTCAAAGTGTAAACACAAAACAGTTATTTTGCTACTGTTAAAACAAGCGATAAAATAAAGACAAAAATAAAACGAACTCAAGGGACACCCAGACACCATCCAAATTCATTAACTGAATAGAATCTTTGAAACTTCACCAAGTAGAAGATTAAATTCAAGTTTAAATCCAAATTAAACAACACTACACAGAATTACCCCTAGACAAATTAATAAATTTCAATAAAGAAACAGCTCTGCAGGGCTCGGTTTATCTGTAAGTCAATTCCCAGGAACTTTAAAACTAACCCATAAAAATAGAATTAGCCAAAACACTCGGATTGGTACTTTATTTACAATAAATAACACTAGTACACTTCCCCATCCTAACTAAAGAACCAGGGAACAGCTTGGTGGTGGTCTCGTTTGAACCTCCCAACTGACCTTCCTTCGTTCTCTCCTTCACCGGAGAGGGAGAGCTCCCCAAATGGGTGATGGATTCTAGTGTTCGTGAGAGCATTCGCTATATGCAGGAAGCAAATAATTGCCGGTCTGAGATACGCAGACTCACTGCAGAGCATGCTAACCTCCAACACTGGTTGGCTCATGAGCATGCTGCATATGAGTCACTTTTTCGGTCATGTCAAGGAAGGAACAGCGTTGACGTGGCCTTTCTTGCTCTCAAATGGCTCCATGAACTTCACAATCTCTCAATTTCATGGCAGAATCACACCGAAGATGTCCCTTGTCCTCACGATGCACTTCCGTGGCTGGACACCACCCCTCCAATGTCAAAGGAGGATTTCTGTTCCCTTTACACCAACGTTCAATCCACCAATACTCAGTACCCTGGGGCAGGTCAAGATGATGGTGTGGACAGCGCGGATGAGGCAAGTCAAGATGATGATGATAATGATGAAATAGAGCCTGATGAGATGGAGGAAAATGGGGCTCTGGCTCTGGCTATGGCAGCATTAGATATGGGTGAAGATGCTTGCCTTGACCCAGAGAATGTAGAGGGTTTCGCAATGTAAGTTGTAATTGCTGGCCCATGGCGATTCCCACAGTGTGGCCATTTCCCTCAGTTGGCCAGGCAATTGTCTCATGAATTCAGCTCCAACTCTCACATGCATGTGACATCAAATAGCGTGGGAACTCTTTCGCATTAATGAGCAGATTTGGTGCCAATCTCGAATATAACAATGTAATAATAACAATATTAACATTAATTCCGGAAACTCTATGAGTAGATATAACAATATAACAATAAACTCGGACAACTCCGCTACAATACAGCTAAGGTCATAACTGTTTGTATCCTCTAATCACGTGACAGAGAGAGGGAGAAAGAGAATAGGCATCATGACAGCGGACTCGGCCTAGCATCGGGCCAGCACAGAATGTTGATTGCGGAACAGGAAAACAATGGCTGAGGGTGGGCTGGTTACAAAGAGAGTACAGTTAAGATACAACGTAATCAAAGGCGGAGTGGGGGGAGGTGGAGGGTAGACAAAAGAGGAAATGCAGCCTGAGCGGGGAGGAACAGGAGCTGAGGGCGAACAATTCACAAATCAAGTAAATAAAGGGTTAAAAAAATACACTTACAGAAAACAGCAACACATGGAAGGGAGAGTAATAACCACGCAATAACGAGAGGTAACTGACAAGCAAGCGTGAGTTAGAAGCCTGGCTGCACTGGGGAAACATACCAGTGGCACCGAGCGCAAGTGCTGCGGCAGTGTGAACAGCTCCAAGTTGCATGTGCCCGACTCCGATTAGTCCCGTGAAATAAACTGGAATACATAGCAAACTATGTTAGAAGCAGTGATGGGAATGGAAGCAAACATAATAGAAAAACAATGCAATCACGAAACCGGGTGGAGAAAAAATTTGCTTACTAGACACAAGTTGAAGAACAATCAATGAAAGCACCCACTGGAAACATAATGTAAATAGGAATAAACACCAGGTCATTTGGATCTGAGACCCATGCCATCCACGTTGATGTCAGCAACATGGCAAGCTGGCAGGCGAATGGAAGAGCAAATGGGCAGGCAACATTGTGGCTGCAGTGTGACATGCAAGACGAAACACGGAAACAATCAGTGAACGTGCCCAGTACAAGCTCAGGGACCTCAAAGCGAGGACAAGAGTTTCAGATTCCACAGGAGTCAGCTGGTGGGGGTACGGAATAGTCGTGGAGGGGGATATAAATCTAATATACAAGGGAGGTACGAAATATTAATTTGCTTCGGACAATACAAACAAACTGAGTGTCAGAGACTGGAATTTTTGTCAGAGACTGGGATATTGTCGGAGTCGGACAAACTGTCAGAAGGCAGATTGGGTTCTGTCTGAGTTGGGGTCGGAGATTGTGGCAGAGGTCTGTTGGAGCGCGTGCGCGGATATGCGGGCGGAAATATGCGGCGCGTCCGGAAGCGCTGTTCAAGGTTAGCGGAGTGGGATCGTGGCCTCAGCGACTCAGGTGGAGCGCTGTGCCCTGAGCTTGACGTTTGGGGGAGATCCCGTATTTACAGACTGACACTCACAGCGGACTTCAAACAAGACTTGTGGGCGGAGCGGACCTGTAGGAGGAGCGCGGACTCCGCGAGCACGGACTCAGAGGGGGGGAAGCCCCCTTTGCAGAAGGAGAGACTCAGACCAGACAGGGGGGGTACTCTAGTTGATTTCAGACTGAGGTCCCCAAAAGTATTTACAAGGTATATAAATAGGCAAGAGGGAATATAGAAAGGCCGGTCAGTCCGGCGCGGTCCGGTGCGGAGATAAGCGGGGATTGTCAAACTAAATAAGGACAAGAGCCCGGGAACCAGAAACGAGGAACAGATCAATAAACAATAAGTGGCAAGGGTTATTGATGAATAACTGAATGAGATCAATAACCTAGTGCCAATAAAGAGGGGATCAAATGCCGATATTGGCAGGGAAGCAAACAATAAATGGCACTCGGCAAGGAATGAATGATAAGCTGCCAAGTGACAAATGGCCAGAGGAAAAGTGGAGGTCAGTGCACAGCGCCGATACAAGTCTGCAAATAAGCGGGGTCGGTGCGGTGCCGACACAAGTCCGCGAACAGAGGTTGATCTGCCAGCACTGTCACACAAGGACAGCATGAAGGCCAACAGAGGTACAGAGGGGAGTGGGAGTGTTGACCTGACCAGAGGTGTCAAGGGCAACCAGAAGTGGCCAGAAGGTGCAGAGATGGGCAGAGGGTGCGGAGTGGGCAGAGGGTGCGGAATGCACAGAAGCGGGGCATGGCTGTGACCACATAGTGGGAAGCGATGAGTGTGGTTCAGGTGGAGACAAGGCAGGCATGACTGAATGCCGGGAGTGCCAAGGGCTCAGGAACTGGAGGTAAGGTTGGAATACCGGCAGGGTCTAGGTTCTGATTATTGGCCAAGTCTCACGCAGTAAGGCAGGGGGCCAGTGTCAGGGTCGCGTCCGGGGTCGAGGCGGTCCAGGCGTAGCGTCCGGTGCTGAGGACCTCACAGGGGGTGGATCGGGCATGCATACTGGCAGCCCTGATGTGGGATGGCGATCCCTGGCCACTTAGACTGAAGTGGGAATGTTGAGTTATTATTAAAAGGGGAACTATGCTACTTACCTGAAGTGGGAATGTTGAGAAGAAGGTTACTTCTTCGGTTCCCACCCCAGGTGTGTTTATATACATGCGGCTTGGGTCACATGAGGTCTGCCACGTCACCCCGCATACAGCCGCAGTCACCCGGGTGTCCCCATGGGGGATCCCGAGGGTGTATGCTGCACGCGCGCGCACTAGGTTGCGCCCTAGAGCCGTCCGGGGTCGTCCGGGGCTAGGCATGTCGTGTGCGCATCGTGGGCGGGTCAATAATACATGGATATAAGGGAAAGGTCGTCCATGTGAAGTAGAAATAGAAATAGAAGTGGAAGTGGGAGAGGGATAGAGGGGGAAGGGGTATGAAGGAGGGGTGCAGGGTGGGAGAAGGGGAACCGGGTGAGGTGGGCCCGGGTGGAGGCGGGTCAAGCGGGTGTGCCCTGACAGCCAGACATGGGGTTGGGGGCTGGTTAGGATGGGTTTCGGGTCGGCGGATTCGCCTATCGGCATTGATTCGCCGCTGATGGAGCCCCGGGATTTGTCAGTCATGACACCGAGCCTCATACCATTGCATTGATGCCATGGAAAGTAAAATGAATTTACGAGGGGAAAGTGAGCCATGGGACGTAAAGAGGACAATCATCAGGGGACAAACTTACCAGCACAGCGAGTTCAGGTCAAAGCCTGCAAAAAAAAAGTCATCAGATTTGTTGCGAAGAACAGGGTTGCAGCTCCAATTGGAACAACGAACCCACCCCGTTAGGCCATCATCTGATAAACTCTGTGAATACTGAACTAGCTAGGCTGAGAGACAATCAGCAGAACAATCTACAGGGGAGAGACGATTAGTGCGGTTCATGCCAACTGAAGAAACCGGCAAACCTCATGGAACCCTACAACAAACCCGCGCCTCACTGCAACGATGAGTTAGCTAGGCCACACCCCAATCGAGGGATGCAAAGCGTATGCTTAAGACTGAGGAGGGAAGGGAGGCTTGGCGGTGGTCACAGCGCTGCATGGGTTCAGTAGAGGATGGGGTGAGGATGGGGAGATGGAAAGAACTAGACAGTTGCGAATAATTCATCACCTGATCTCGGCGTTTGCCTCCTTTGTATTGAATCTTGCCGAGGGAAGTTGCTGCCATTCAGACACCTGCGGCAAATGACAGTTAGAACGTTCAATGAACGTTCAATGATGATCAGAATGCCCCACTGGAGAATGTTATAGAACATTCAACAACCTTTTGGCCTATTAGGCACATACACACAGAGCTTCTGCGTTCAATTGCTATTTAGAATGTTCACTGATTGTTTAGAACGTTCAGTCGTGGTTTTAGAACATTCTAATCATTACGAGCATTCCATTGGAGAATGTTATAGAACATTCAACAAGCTTTTGGCCTGTTAGGTATATATATATATAGCGCTTTTGGGTACCTAATCAGGTCTCCAAAATATGGGTGACATGGCTGCACTTGTGTCCCGATATCTTGTAGCACTAAACGCTCGCACACCCACATATCTATCATTTATACTACGTTGGTTCTTTGTCACATTATGGATGAACACTGGGGGAAACAGTGGATATTGGCAAAAGAAATACCGATTTTTCAATACATTCAAAGTGATCTGCTTCGGCCAAGCCTTTTAGCGGTGCAGGTTGGCTCAAATGGACAGCTAGATACCTTCATTCTTCTGATGCAGAGTGAAAACGAATCAAGGAACTATGGAAAGCGCAAAATCAAAAAGTCTGTGGTCACAAACGCTGATGAGCATTGATGTTGTCCGACCTGGGACTAAACGACAGTGCAAGGAAGGAATGGCCATGGATTCATTGAAGTCTCTGAGCCCGTATTTATACACACTGCACCATAGGGAAAGGGAACCTCATCTGAGGGAAGTCCAGAAGGATGGAAGGGCGACCTGGCGAAACTTCGCGATTCCCCTCTGATAGTGGACAGAATGTGCAAGGTAAATAGAAGATATTGCAACTGACCACAAATATCCTAAAGGACTTGACTAAGATCAA